TATCTCATAATTTTTCCAATGGTCTTACCATGAGGCCCATCTATGGCCCAAACCCTCACATGGGCCCAACTATTTAGTCTAGTCCAAATTGGGCCCAAACCCTCACATGGGCCTTACCCGAAAGCCCATCCATAAATTCTTAGTCCATATGATTGTTCTTGGATGACCCATTATCATCCCAATCACCAAAGCCCAATATAAGGCCCAACTTAAGGCCCAAGTGAAATTAGGATTTCACATAAAATGACAATTAGGGTTTTGCTAGTCGGGTACCACCCACTGCCACCTCGGGTAGTGGTGGTCAATGGTGGCTCATGGCGGCGGCCACCACCTTACTGTGGTGGTTTTGAGTTTCTTTTCATTATTTTTGATAATTACAATTACAATGCTTTAGTACAAAAATAAACACACACACTGACTAACATAAACACACACAAACACATAGCCACCCTAATGGTGGCCGACGGTGGTACATGGCGACAGAACTCGACAATACGGCGACAGCAAGGTAATGGCCACCATGGTGGGCTGCCATGGTGGTTTCCCACGTCTTCCTACCAACATAAAACATACACTCAGCTTCGAAATGCAACAACAACGCACACACCTGCATGAAACCCACTGAAACACACACCAAAACAGCCACAATCGAAAATCTTGTGGCGGCAGGCGACGGTTTGCGTTGACAGCCACCTCGTGGCGGTATAAGGCAGTCGGAGGGGGACGTCACCCGCTAAAGCTACCTGGAAAGACGGCGACGGTGACGTTGCAGCGGTAGAAGAGGCGAAGTCGCGTCCGAGAATGGCAACACATAGTCCTGACGTCGTCTTCAACCATCTTGGCGTCGCTCGGAACTCGTCTGGTCGGAATACAAAAGAGAATCTGTGGCTTGCGACTTCGATACTGGCTAGAAAGCGGCAGCGGCGACCGGCTGGGGAGGTTGTGGGTGGCAGCCGGTGGTTAGGGGATATAAGGTGGCGGCGACTGGAACGAGAGTGCTGAAGATGGCGGCTGTAGCCATCCGTTAGGGTTAAGGTTTGACTAAGACGCCATTGGTTATATACCCCGTCCATATCACATCTTTTCCATAATTTCAATTCTGGTCCCTCCCCATAGGATCTTTTCAAATTTAATCATATTTACCCTTTCTACTCTGGCTTTGGAAATCTCCTTCAAATTAAATCCGATATTTACCCCTCAGCCCGCAGCTTTCAAAAATCTTTTCAAATAAGTCCCGAATTTATACTTTGACCCCCGAATAATCCAATTTATAACATTTGGCTCCCCAAAACCAACACCCCACTAAATATTATGGATTTTAAGGCCACAATTCATATTAATTTAATCTATTTATTTATTTACTAAACAAGGTGTTACAACTCTCCCCCACTTAAATTAGATTTCGTCCTCGAAATCATTTCTCATCATCCTTTACACACCAATCAACTTGAACGATATGGCCACAATCCCGAGTATAACTCAGCCTTTCCAAGGCATTCTAAATCATCCCCCGCAGGGTTCTGAAACCCAAAAATAAACGAACCCCTTGCCACATGATCGCATCTACTTTGCCTGAAATCTATAGTCTCGAGATGGTCTGATCCTGACAGACCACTCATACTGAATCATTATCGTTGAATCCAATCCGTTTATCCCTCAACTAACTACTCAACTTCTAATAGCTCGAGGTTCCCACTATAAAACAGGATCACAGACCTAATTATCCATGCAGATCACTTATACTTGGCCAAGGCTCAGATAATCCCACAGTGAGTGACTTAGCATAACCCAAGCTATCTGTGACTCTAACCATGCATGAAATTCCAAAACACCATTACTGCTTGAGACACTGAAACTGTCTGAAGCACTGAACTTCCTGAGACACTTAACTGTCTAAAATAGTATGCTACACCCTGGATGCCTTCCAAAATCTACCGAGACCTCCCTGGTCTCAACTCGTTCACCAGACATCTGAAATACCGGGTTCCGGCCCGGTTGCGGAGCTAAAGGAACTCCCACACAATCGTCCACACACGACTTTTGAACACAATTGTCACACCCCAAAACCGGAACGGCGGAAACGTTCAGGGGTGGAGGACGTCATGTACAGTATCACAACAATGCATAGTAGTAAACAAGCAATAACATCATTCATTGCATTAATAATGTAATTTTAATACAAGTGTGTTCTGTGAAGTATAATAGACACCAAAAATATGAATCAAAATAAAAGATGAGTCTTGAACGAGCTCCATCTTCTCAAAACCTGGCACCGGTACCTGTCTACTGGTGACCTGAGAATACAACTTATTTTGAAAGAGTTTATCAGCTTTAAAGCTGGTGAGATCATAAGTATTTTAGTGTCATTGTTTGTATGAAAGTGTTTGTAAGTACTTGATGTATAAGTTTGTAAATGTTTGTAAATGTTTGTACTTCTTAGAAAATCCTATATTTTCTACTAAACGTAGCCTTCTACCAAGGCATCTAGTGTCCTGTGTGTTTGTTTCTTGTAAAAGTGTGTATTTTCCCAAATATGACTATCATTAACCAAAAATATAGTTTTACATTACCGTTCATTGTGTGAAGATCACAAAGTGAATGCAATGGGGAAATAATAAAGTACTGTAGTGTTGTATTAAGTAACTACTGCTGTACTAATTACCTTAAACCAATTTGTTATTTAAAGTAACATGTGATATGCCTGTACCATACTACCGACTATAAACACGACGATGAAAGACGTCGGAAGAAATGACATTTGGCACCCGTAGACTTGCAAGTCCCACTGTAGCGAGCAACAAGGTGTAGGATAGTCAATCCAGTATAGATCTATACACAAATTCAACGCTCCCCACTTAAGGAGATTCTGGATACAAAACGAGCCATGACAGGTGATGCCATGCCCCGTTACGTGGCTCACATAACTGTTGTAATGTTCTTGTATATGTATTGTATGTACTAGCTGTATTGTATGTTCTCTCTGTCTAGTATGTATGTATGTATGTTCTCTCTGTATGTTATCGTTTGTTTCTCATTATAGTATTCTCTATCTGTATTTTATGTTTGTTTCTCGTTATAGTATTCTCTATTTGTATGTTATGTTTGTTTCTCATCATAATATTCTCTATCTGTATGTTATGTTTGTTTCTCATCATAGTATGTATTGACTCATGTATGAACTGACTCATTGTATGTTTCACTGTTCTAGTAATAGTATTAGTAACTTCCTAAACTATACCTATTATAGTTTACTAGTAATGTTGTTTGTATGAATGAACATGTTTGAATACCTTTGCTACCCAAAGGTATTGAAATGAAAGAAGGAACTTTTATATCTATATACATATACATAATATATAACTAAGATTCAAACGACCTTCGGACAAACAACAGATACCCTAAGTCCACAACCAAACAAGGAACAGGAAGTAAGGTGAGCTATCAGTCCTAAGTCCTTTCAATCTTACTTATATAACTATATCTATATAGATACACATTTGACAAAGTATAAGTTTAAAAGAGTTTAATAAAAGTATTTAACATGTAAAAGAGTTTGCAAAACAGTTTGAAGTAGTTTGTTTGATAACACAGTTTGAAAAGTAAGAAAATCCATATGTTTGATAGTTATTAATCACATGTGATTGATATAATAACTATAATAGTTCAACTTGTATTCCCCCCCCCCCATAAAAGCATTTAAAATCATTTAAAAGGTAGATTAAGGGGTATGAACTCACCTGTAGTGAGTGGTTTGGATGAACGGATGGTATATGATGCTAAGTGTCAAGTGAAGACTTGAACACACACACACGGATCCTATTTAACATATAATGACACATATATGTATCTAATTAGTCAATTAACAACTAAATTAGCAAGTAAAGACACCCTAAAACATGGATAACACTTTGATTCAAGTGCTAGGAGTACCAAAGGGTTGCATCTAATGGGAGTATGGCCTCACATTTGAGTTTATGGCCATAATGGTCATATTGCTTGAGTTTACGGCCCATGGTCATTTCCCCATGAGTTTACGGCCGTAAACTCATGGTATTATGTACCATATTGTGTTTTAAGGTCTTACAAGTCATGATTAAGTATCCTATGATCAAGTCCAAGCCTTAGGAAGTCATAGTGGTACAATTGTACCACTTCTTAGAGTTTACGGCCCATGGTCATTTCCCCATGAGTTTACGGCCGTAAACTCCATGTGTTCTTGATTCTTTTGATGTTTAAGGTCCTAAACTCTTCAAGGAAGTGATCTAGACTTGTATCCAAGGATTAGGAAGGGACTAGGGCTCACTATGCCCCTTTTATTAGGGTTTACGGCTCAAGAACATTGTCTTGGCCGTAAACACCTTATGAACTTGTGTTTCTTGATGTTTTCTAGTTGATTAACAAATGAATCAAGCCTATATCAAGTCAAGGTAAGAGTACTTACAATATAGAAGCTTGTAAGGGGGTTCACGGCCCAAGAACACTAGTGTGTGTTCTTGGTGTTCTTGGTGAAATGAAGAACACTTGAAGATCTAAGAAAATGGAATGATTTCATGGATGAAATCATGTAAGATCACTAGATAATGAAAGATATCAACTAATCAAGGAAAGAAACACTTACTTTCTTGAAGATTTTGAAGAAAAATCGGATGATACTTGAGAGAGAATGAGTTCTTTGGCTTTCTATTGTAAAAATGGCTAAAAATGACTAAGTGTCGTTTATATACACTTTAGAGTTTACGGCCCTAACACCAATTTTGGGCCGTAAACTCCAAACTCTTGGAGTTTTGGAACTTAAATGTTGCACAACTAACTCTAAAGTATACTTCCTATAATTACCTCTTGAAGTACTAGGCTTTAGAACACTCAAACTGACACCAAACAGCTTAAAAGTTAGCAGAAACAAATTCGACTTCTATTGAAGTGAATGGTTGTACAAGATAGAAATTTCGGGTTGTCACATCATCCCCCCGTTAGAAGGAATTTCGTCCCGAAATTAGAGTTTAAGCAAATAAGTAGTTACAAATAACTAAGTAAAAAAGATGAGGATATTTCAGTTTCATCTGATCCTCTCGCTCCCAAGTGAATTCAGGTCCTCGCTTGGCGTTCCAGCGAACCTTCACTATCGGGATACGGCTTTGCTTTGTTTGCTTGACCTCTCGGTCCATGATCTCTACAGGTTCTTCCACGAAGTTGAGGCTCTCGTTGATCTCGATCTCGTCGAGTGGGATTACAAGAGTCTCGTCGGACAGACACTTTTTCAAGTTCGAGACGTGGAAAGTAGAATGTACGTTATTGAGTTCGCGAGGTAAGTTGAGTTTGTAAGCTACAGGGCCGATTCTAGCGAGAATCTCGAAAGGCCCTATGTATCTTGGATTTAGCTTTCCACGCTTTCCGAAGCGTATCAAGCCTTTCCAGGGTGAGACCTTCAATAGAACACGGTCGCCCACCTGGAATTCCAACGGTTTCCTTCGTTTATCTGCGTAGCTTTTCTGTCGGTCTCTAGAGGCTTTCAATCGTTCACGAATCTGAACGATCTTCTCTGTCGTTTCCCGAATGATCTCCGGACCGGTGAGAGTGTTGTCAGGAACTCGTCCTTTAGCTAACTGGGTGTCACCCACCTCAGCCCAGCACAGAGGGGATCTGCACTTTCGGCCATAGAGGGCTTCAAATGGAGCAGCCTTTATGCTCGTGTGATAACTGTTGTTGTAGGAAAACTCGACAAGGGGTAAATGAGTATCCCATGCTTTCCCAAAGTCGATCACACAGGCTCGCAACATATCTTCCAAGGTTTGGATAGTCCTCTCACTTTGTCCGTCGGTCTGTGGATGGTAGGCTGTACTCATGTCCAGCCTAGTTCCTAGGGAACTTTGTAGCGACTGCCAGAACCTCGAAGTGAATCTACTATCTCTATCGGAGATAATAGATATAGGAACACCATGCAGTCGTACGATCTCCCTTATGTAGGTTCTTGTTAGCTTCTCCATCTTGTCTGTTTCTTTGATAGGCAGGAAGTGTGCGGACTTGGTCAACCTGTCTACGATCACCCAAATGGTATCGAGACCACCCGTTGTCTTGGGCAACTTGGTTATGAAGTCCATTGTGATCCGCTCCCACTTCCATTCTGGTATCTCCGGCTGTTGTAGTAGACCTGAGGGTTTCTGGTATTCGACCTTGACCTTGGCGCAAGTAAGGCATTTACTCACGAAGGTAGCAATCTCTGCTTTCATGTTAGGCCACCAGTATAGCTTTTTAAGATCCAGATACATCTTATCTGAACCTGGGTGGACGGAATATCGTGTGTTGTGAGCTTCGGTCATGATCAAGTCTCTGAAGCCACCGTGTTTCGGTGTCCAGATCCGATCCATGAAATATAAGGCTCCGCCACCCTTGACTTCCAAGTTCTTATCCATCCCTCTCAGGGATTCACTCGCCACATTTTCAGGTTTCAAAGCGTCGAGCTGAGCCTCCTTGATTTGTGTGGAAAAGTGTGAATGGATAGTCATAGTCAATGATTTGACTCTACGACCAGAGTATTCTTTCCGACTTAGGGCGTCAGCTACTACGTTGGCTTTACCCGGATGATAACGAATTTCACATTCGTAATCACTGAGTAGCTCGACCCACCGTCGTTGTCTCATGTTGAGCTCCTTCTGGTCGAATATATGTTGTAGGCTTTTGTGGTCTGTAAAGATCATGCTCTTCGTACCGTATAGGTAGTGTCTCCAGATCTTCAGAGCAAACACAACTGCTCCTAGCTCAAGATCGTGTGTGGTGTAGTTGACCTCGTGTGTCTTCAGCTGTCTCGAGGCATAGGCGATGACCTTACCTCGCTGCATCAGAACACAACCGAGCCCCTGATTTGACGTATCGCAATAGACAACGAAGTCTTCTTTCCCTTCGAGGAGGGATAGTATTGGTGCGGTGCATAAGGCTCGCTTAAGCGTTTGGAACGCTTTCTCCTGCTTCTCTTCCCAGTCAAAGGCCACGCCCTTCTGGGTCAAAGTGGTAAGGGGTTTCGCAATTCGGGAGAAGTTCTGAATGAACCTGCGATAGTAGCCAGCGAGGCCTAGAAATTGACGAATTTCGGTAGGCGTCTTCGGTGCTGACCAGCTCTCAATGGCTTTGATTTTGGAAGGGTCCACGTGTATTCCCTCTTCGCTAACCACGTGCCCTAAGAATTCGACTCTTCGGATCCAAAATTCGCATTTCGAGAACTTCGCATAGAGCTTCTCCGAACGCAGCGTTTCTAAGACCTGTCGCAGATGTTGACTATGCTCCTCCTTACTACGAGAGTAGATAAGTATGTCATCGATGAAGACGATGACGAACTGATCCAAGTAAGGACGACACACCCTATTCATTAAATCCATGAATACTGCGGGCGCGTTTGTTAATCCGAACGGCATCACTACGAATTCGTAGTGCCCATAACGAGTTCGGAAGGCTGTCTTCGGAACATCCTCCCCTAGCACTCGTAGTTGGTGATATCCGGATCTTAGATCGATTTTTGAAAAGAAGTTCGCCCCTTGCAGTTGATCAAATAAATCGTCTATGCGAGGCAGAGGGTAACGATTTTTGATGGTTAGCTTGTTGAGCTCCCTGTAGTCGATGCACATACGAAACGATCCGTCTTTCTTCTTGACGAACAAGACCGGAGCTCCCCATGGTGAGAAGCTTGGTCTTATAAAGCCCTTGCTGAGCAGTTCGTTAAGTTGATCGGACAGTTCTTGCATCTCTGCAGGTGCTAGACGATAGGGCGATTTGGCTACTGGGGTAGCCCCTGGAACTAAGTCGATTCTGAACTCGACTTGACGTTGCGGAGGTAATCCTGGGAGTTCTTCTGGAAAGATGTCGGGAAAATCGCGTACTACTGGAATGTTCTTAATGTCTTTCGTTTCTTGGCTCACATCTACAACATGAGCAATTCCTTTCGCAAGAATTTCTGGGCTTGAATGCTTGAGATGATACGAAGGTTCGTGTCGGGTTTGTCGCCATAGACTACTAGAGTTTCGCCAGACGGCAGATTAAGGCGAACAGCCTTTTCATAACACATGATGTCGGCACGATGAAGACTCAACCAATCCATGCCGATAATGACGTCGAAACTTTTAATTGAGACCGGCATGAGGTCGATCGAAAATGAATGGCTATCTAGAGTTAGGGTACATCCTATGTATATACTGCTAGTGCTCTCTGTCTTCCCATTAGCCATTTCTACAGTGAACGGTTCTTTAAGTGCTCGTGATTTTTGCTTAAGTAAATGAGCAAATTTTTGGTTCACGAAACTCCTCTCCGCTCCACTATCAAATAGTATGCATGCATAAGAGTTATCGAGGAGAAACGTACCAGTGACCACTGTGGGGTCGGCAACCGCTTCCTCGTGGCCTATGGCCAGAACCCTTCCTACTCCACCGGCATTCCCTGCCTTAGGGCAGTTCCTCTTGTAGTGGCCCACCTCGCCACAACCGTAGCAAGCTTGGCCCACTCCTGCGCCGGGGACTTGGTTGATTGGCCTCGCCGGAGCTTTGCAGAAACGGGCAGTGTGCCCCTTCCTGTTGCAGTTTGAACACTGCATTTCCCGGCAGGCTCCGATGTGGTGGAAGTTGCATTTGTTGCACTTAGGCAAACTTCCAGCGTACTGCTTGACCGGAGCAGCAGCGGCAGGTGCTATCGCAGCATGAACTGCCACGACCTGCTGCTTTTTGGCAGCTTTCTTCTTCTTCTTGTCATCCCAGAACTTCCGCTTGGAATCAGCGGTTTTGGAGGGTTCTGAGATGGCCAGGGTTGTTGTTGTTGACGGGGTACGGACCCCATGGTCAATAAGCCGCTGTGCCAACCGCTTGGCACTATCGAATGTAGTGGGGTTTGAAGCCAAAACATTCCCTTGAAATGGAGGCACCAGCCCCCAGATGTATCTCTCGATTTTCTTTCCCTCTGTGTGAACCATGTTGGGACAGAGGGCCACCAGCTCGCAGAACCTGGCGGTGTAGGAGACTATGTCGGAGCCTTTCATGGTTAGGCTCCACAGTTCTTGCTCCAGCTTTTGGATTTCGCCCCTCGGGCAGTATTCTTCGATCATCAGCTCTCTCAGAGCTTCCCAGCCCATGACATTTGCCACTATAAGAGATAGTGACTTGACATGGCTATTCCACCATGTCAGGGCTTTGCCTCGAAGGTGCACGCAGCAAATTTGACTTTGCTTCCTTCCGGGCATGAGCAGATCTCGAAGATCGATTCCGTCTTTTCGAACCATTGCGAGAGGGCAATGACTCCGCCAGTCCCTTTAAAGGACAGTGGCTTGCAGTTTGTGAAGTCCTTGTAGGAGCACTCTCTCAAGCGCACAGGGGCTTCACCATGGTTAGAATGAACAGGCGTTCCATCACCGCTGGCGCTGGTAGAATGATATTGAGCCATGGCTATAGCCACAGCCGCAGCTACTGCAACATTAAGAGCTGCCGTATCGATTTGAGGAGTAGGTGGTGTTGCAGTTACCGGAGGATCGCGTCTCGTTGATCGGCGTGGAGGCATCTTTTAACTATAAGTTTACAAAGATGAAGATATTGATAAGAATTCAATAGGGAGAATTTGATGAGAATGACTCATGGACTAACTCTCCATAGCCCAACAGCACAATTGAATAGTATGATTGAATGTAGATTAGTACTAAAAGATGAAAGCATTTGGATAATAATTTCCATGAGATTAGATATCTGTCAATAATACTGGTATTACAGATGTAACAAGTTCGGGAAAAATGACCTAGAAGTAGGTCTTACATCAAACCAAGATGGGAAAATTTTGACAGAACTACGACCTGATTAAGACTTAACAGATCCAAAGTTTTCACAACGATAGGAAATTAAACTAGAGTTTTTACATAAACTAAGTTATATCCAAAAGAGAAAGTCGAGGAGACTCTATCTGCGACGAGAACTACTAGAGTGAGTTCTTGATTCCGACAGAAGGCGTTCTATGTCCCTCATGCGCCTTTCGGATCTTACTTGCCGAGCTCGAAGTTCCCTGACTTCGGCTTGGGTTTCAGCAAGTTCTCTCTGCAGAGCTGCATTCTGGTTCCGAGTCCTTTCACGAGCAGACTCCAGCTGACGAATGCGGACGGTGTTGACTCCAGTGTCAGCATCAACTTGCAGGATTTGATGGATAGCCGCTCTACCCTGCTCATCAGTACGAGCAACCCTGCGGACTAGAATAGGCAAGATTATGTCCGCTGATCCTCCCTTGCTCAAGTCATAGAAGCTTCGGTCTCCGTTGTAAGGTAACGGCTGGCCTTGCTTGTGACTCCATCTGTTCAAGTTTGTTGCCCACAGAGGTGTGGGGCCTTGAAATGCTGGACGAGGGTTAGGATTTGGGTTTGGGTTTTGAGCTACTGGGGGTAGGTTGTTGACTTCTGGCTCTGAGTCAGAACCATCAGAAAAGCCTTCAGCTTGGTGATCATCCAAAGGGATTGAGTGATCATCTTCTGGCTCTTCTCCCAGCCATCCTGCATTGCCGTTGTTGGGGTAGTACGGGTCTCCGGGAAGATGGAATCCAGCCATGATATCTACGCGAGAAAAGGGGTAAAGAAATAATTAATAGACGACCTAATTAGATAACTATAAGATGATCTTTATTAGTTACTTCAATACTTGCATAATGCATACCAGTTATATGTAATCAAAACAGGATAGACCTTCGAATAAGTGATCCTAACTCCAAATCCACAACCAAACAAGGAACAGGAAGAAAAGAAAAGATCACAGATTCTAAGTCTATGACATCCTAGTCATATATATAACCTTAGCGTATCCACTTAGCAAATATTGATCTACTAATAAAAACCTTTAATTCTCAGATCAGCAATTATAGTAACACAAAATACTCCTATAGTATTTTAAGTTTATGTTCTGTTCTTATGTTTTCATTGTAGTATTGATGGTAAGTTTTTAGACTTGTTGCAACCTCACAACCACCCTTAGGCACATGCTAGTCACTCCTCGGATAATATAGTTGATCAGGCTATATCTTCCCAGGTTTGACCATATGTCTCTAAGTCTAATTGTGTTGCCCAACAATCGTAATACTTTTGTTCTGTCCTAGTGACACTGATTTTAGTATGAATGCAGGTATGTATACTTGGTTAAATATTTTATTATTTAAAAGTATAAACTCTTGGTCAGAGTATTTTAATCTCGTTGTGTTTATAGTTTGTATATCTTTTATGGGTTTATATTCGATTCACTATAAACAATGCTCTGATACCAATCTGTCACACCCCAAAACCGGAACGGCGGAAACGTTCAGGGGTGGAGGACGTCATGTACAGTATCACAACAATGCATAGTAGTAAACAAGCAACAACATCATCCATTGCATTAATAATATAATTTAATACAAGTGTGTTCTGTGAAGTTTAATAGACACCAAAAATATGAATCAAAATAAAAGATGAGTCTTGAACGAGCTCCATCTTCTCAAAACCTGGCACCGGTACCTGTCTACTGGTGACCTGAGAATACAAGTTATTTTGAAAGAGTTTATCAGCTTTAAAGCTGGTGAGATCATAAGTATTTTAGTGTCATTGTTTGTATGAAAGTGTTTGTAAGTACTTGATGTATAAGTTTGTAAATGTTTGTAAATGTTTGTACTTCCTAGAAAATCCTATATTTTCTACTAAACATAGCCTTCTACCAAGGCATCAAGTGTCCTGTGTGTTTGTTTCTTGTAAAAGTGTGTATTTTCCCAAATATGACGATCATTAACCAAAAATATAGTTTTACATTACCGTTCATTGTGTGAAGATCACAAAGTGAATGCAATGGGGAAATAATAAAGTACTGTAGTGTTGTATTAAGTAACTACTGCTGTACTAATTACCTTAAACCAATTTGTTATTTAAAGTAACATGTGATATGCCTGTACCATACTACCGACTATAAACACGACGATGAAAGACGTCGGAAGAAATGACATTTGGCACCCGTAGACTTGCAAGTCCCACTGTAGCGAGCAGCAAGGTGTAGGATAGTCAATCCAGTATAGATCTATACACAAATTCAACGCTCCCCACTTAAAGAGATTCTGGATACAAAACGAGCCATGAGAGGTGATGCCATGCCCCGTTACGTGGCTCACATAACTGTTGTAATGTTCTTGTATATGTATTGTATGTACTAGCTGTATTGTATGTTCTCTCTGTCTAGTATGTATGTATGTTCTCTCTGTATGTTATCGTTTGTTTCTCATTATAGTATTCTCTATCTGTATTTATGTTTGTTCTCGTTATAGTATTCTCTATTTGTATGTTATGTTTGTTTCTCATCATAATATTCTCTATCTGTATGTTATGTTTGTTTCTCATCATAGTATGTATTGACTCATGTATGAACTGACTCATTGTATGTTTCACTGTTCTAGTAATAGTATAGTAACTTCCTAAACTATACCTATTATAGTTTACTAGTAATGTTGTTTGTATGAATGAACATGTTTGTATACCTTTGCTACCCAAAGGTATTGAAATGAAAGAAGGAACTTTTATATCTATATACATATACATAATATATAACTAAGATTCAAACGACCTTCGGACAAACAACCGATACCCTAAGTCCACAACCAAACAAGGAACAGGAAGTAAGGTGAGCTATCAGTCCTAAGTCCTTTCAATCTTACTTATATAACTATATCTATATAGATACACATTTGACAAAGTATAAGTTTAAAAGAGTTTAATAAAAGTATTTAACATGTAAAAGAGTTTGCAAAACAGTTTGAAGTAGTTTGTTTGATAACACAGTTTGAAAAGTAAGAAAATCCATATGTTTGATAGTTATTAATCACATGTGATTGATATAATAACTATAATAGTTCAACTTGTATTCCCCCCCATAAAAGCATTTAAAATCATTTAAAAGGTAGATTAAGGGGTATGAACTCACCTGTAGTGAGTGGTTTGGATGAACGGATGGTATAGGATGCTAAGTGTCAAGTGAAGACTTGAACACACACACACGGATCCTATTTAACATATAATGACACATATATGTATCTAATTAGTCAATTAACAACTAAATTAGCAAGTAAAGACACCCTAAAACATGGATAACACTTTGATTCAAGTGCTAGGAGTACCAAGGGTTGCATCTAATGGGAGTATGGCCTCACATTTGAGTTATGGCCATAATGGTCATATGCTTGAGTTTACGGCCCATGGTCATTTCCCCATGAGTTTACGGCCGTAAACTCATGGTATTATGTACCATATTGTGTTTTAAGGTCTTACAAGTCATGATTAAGTATCCTATGATCAAGTCCAAGCCTTAGGAAGTCATAGTGGTACAATTGTACCACTTCTTAGAGTTTACGGCCCATGGTCATTTCCCCATGAGTTTACGGCCGTAAACTCCATGTGTTCTTGATTCTTTTGATGTTTAAGGTCCTAAACTCTTCAAGGAAGTGATCTAGACTTGTATCCAAGGATTAGGAAGGGACTAGGGCTCACTATGCCCCTTTTATTAGGGTTTACGGCTCAAGAACATTGTCTTGGCCGTAAACACCTTATGAACTTGTGTTTCTTGATGTTTTCTAGTTGATTAACAAATGAATCAAGCCTATATCAAGCCAAGGTAAGAGTACTTACAATATAGAAGCTTGTAAGGGGGTTCACGGCCCAAGAACACTAGTGTGTGTTCTTGGTGTTCTTGGTGAAATGAAGAACACTTGAAGATCTAAGAAAATGGAATGATTTCATGGATGAAATCATGTAAGATCACTAGATAATGAAAGATATCAACTAATCAAGGAAAGAAACACTTACTTTCTTGAAGATTTTGAAGAAAAATCGGATGATACTTGAGAGAGAATGAGTTCTTTGGCTTTTCTATTGTAAAAATGGCTAAAAATGACTAAGTGTCGTTTATATACACTTTAGAGTTTACGGCCCTAACACCAATTTTGGGCCGTAAACTCCAAACTCTTGGAGTTTTGGAACTTAAATGTTGCACAACTAACTCTAAAGTATACTTCCTATAATTACCTCTTGAAGTACTAGGCTTTAGAACACTCAAACTGACACCAAACAGCTTAAAAGTTAGCAGAAACAAATTCGACTTCTATTGAAGTGAATGGTTGTACAAGATAGAAATTTCGGGTTGTCACAACAATCCTCTTTTGTCAACAATTACCGCTAGTTATCTTGCCACTGCGACTCTAATGATTTTCTGATCTAACTGATCGGGTCCATACGTCTGATCCTAACATCACCCAAACCCAATGCTAAAAGTGAATGCTACATGACCAAGGGTAGCCTTATATCACAAACGACCTTAAACGGTTCATCGCTTCCTTGATCCCTTGACTGTAGTGATGATCCTACGGTCTTATCCATGGCTCAAACAAGTCTAATTCATCCATGGAAGTCCGTAAAGCAAGCCGTGGAATTGCCACGCCCTCACTGTTGCACCCGAACTGGTGGGTACCAGTGTTCCTTCTGCGATCTAACAACACTCCCATGCTATCTACCAACCTAGTGA